AAAGAAAGAAAGAAAGAAAGAAAGAAAGAAAGAAAGAAAGAAAGAAAGAAAGAAAGAAAGAAAGAAAGAAAGAAAGAAAGAAAAGGAAAAAACGGGACAATAACTAAAAATTAAAAGAACACTTAAAATATTAATACATAGATTATTGCCCCCCCAAAAAAAATCATTTGCAACAATAATGAGGGTTTTCTAACAAAATCTAGGAGCCTTTGGTAATTAACCACAGATTATTAAGCAATAGAGAGCTGTGAACAATTTCTTGTTTGCTTTGTTATTTATTTACTCTGAGGTGCCTTTTCATTAAAGGATTAAGTTTCTCCCTCTTTTCCCTCTTTTCCACCAAAGTTCTGCAACAAACAAACAAACATAGAAAACACCCATGCTTAATACATACCAGGTTGGGCTGGGGATGTATGTATGTACGTAGCTCAGAGGTACAGCATGTGCCCAGCATGCATGAGGCCCTAAGTTTAAGTCCCGGCACAGCGAGAAAAAAGAAACACACACACACACACACACACACACACACACACACACACACACACCCCAGATCCTCACTTGGATTTTGTTGACTTATCTCACTGAATCTTCACAAGATGAGAAGGGAGTTGGGAAACAATCACCATGCCTAACAAAACAAATCTCAGAGGCTCAAAGAGTTAAAATTTCCATGAGAAAAAGTAGTTGACTTTGGACCCTGAATAGTGCACTTGCCTGGCAGGTGTGAGGCACTGGGTTCAATACTCAGCACCGTATATAAATTAAAAAAATAAAATAAAATAAAGGTCTATCAACAACTAAAAAATATTTTTAAAAAATAATAAAATAAAGGGGAACAAATGGCAAACTAACACAGAGAAGCTAAGAAAACAACTTAGAGAAATAGATAGGAACATATAGTTCCAGAGTTAGACTACCTGGGTTTATATGCTTGCTCTGTCATTTGCTAGCTGTGTGACTAGTTAATAAACCTCTCTGTGCTTTAGTGTCTTCATCTGTAAAATGATAATTTAAAAATTCCATCCCACAATCTCACAAAATAGCATCCCACAAATAATTGTGGGATGTATATGTGTGTGTGTGTGTGTGTGTAAAATTTGTTTAAAATACAAATTTTAAGCTAAATGCAATGGCATACACCTGTAATTCCAGTGACTTAGGAGGCTGTGGCAGGAGAATGGCAAGTTCAAGACCAGCCAAGGCAACTTATTGAGACTCTGCCTCAAAATTTAAAAAAATAAAAATTATAAGGACTGGAGATATAGCTCAGTTGTGGGTTCAATCCCCACCATACACACACACAGAAAAAGATAAGATATGGGCTGGGTGCAGTGTCAAACACCTGTAATCCCAGTGGCTCAGGAGGCTGAGATGGGGGAGAGGGAGATTGTAAGTTCAAAGCCAGCCTCAAAAACAGGGAGATGCTAAGCAATTCAGTGAGACCCTGACTCTAAATAAAATACAAAATAGGGCTGGGGATATGGCTCAGTGGTTGAGTTCAATCCCCAATACCAAAAAAAAAAAAAAAAAAAGATACATATGCAAACCTAACTAATTTGCTCCCAGATTTCACAAGTTTCTGTTATTCTATGCAACACCATAAATTTTTAGAAATAAATCAGTTTGGTTCAGCAAAAAGCCACCAAGTTTCATAGTGAAAGACAACACACTTCATTTTTACAGATGATAAAAATGGGCCTCATCTGCAATTTCAGCTGTCTGAAACCCACCATACTTCAGAGATATAATCTCAAGCACTAATTTTTTTAATGACAAAAATAAGAAATCTAATAATTTTGTATAAGTGTCCTAGGTGATATGAAACTCAGAATGTAATTTTAATTGGAAATATTATTTATGAAATAAAAATGGAAGGCATAAAAAAAATCCTGTACAATCAAAAACTTAAAGTATTTCCAGGGTATAGTCATTAAACCTAGAACAGAAATTAATTGAGTGCAAATTCCTAGAAATTGGTTTCATGGCATAAATGTGTGAATTAATTGCAATATCCTAATCTTCTGATCACACTAGCAAAGGCATAGCAAGGAAAAAAAAAGTATTAACCATTCATGGATACATAAGTTTGTAAGTCAACTAATACCCCACACAAAAAATAATATTTAAGAGTTCCCGAATGTAGACCATAATACATTTGTATAAAAACTATTCACCTATACATTAGAAAATACTAAGTCTCCAGATACTTTAACAATGCTTTACTCTTATACAATATTTATAATGTGCCAACCATTTCTACCTTCATAATTTCCTTTGAACTTCCTGGCATAGGGGATGAGATAACTACATTCGTACTCATTTCTAAAGAGAAGATTGTACAACCTTAGAAAATTTAAGTAAGCTGCCCAAAGATGTTGAACTTAGCAGAACACAGGATCCTAACTCCTATTCTCTTTTTTTAAGTACCAAAAGATATGTCCATGAAAACATATTTAACAATGGTAAGTCCTCCCTAATCAGAACAACGTGTGTATGTCTTCTTTTAATTGTGGGGAGATGTCTGTTTGAATTGAACAAGAAAAAATAAAAGCTAATGGGAAAACTGAAAATGTGTTTTTATTTTTTCACAGTACTGGGATTAAACCCAGAGGTGCTTTACCACTGAGGTACATTCCCAGCCTTTTTATATTTTGAAACAAGGTCTTGCTGACAATATTTTTTGAAAGAAAATTCTCAAGGGAAAAATAGTACACATATCCTTACCTCTCAGTGAGTCCAGGCGTAAGCCAATCCCCTCTCCACTAACTTCATCCTTTTGCACTTAAGGGGACCAACATTGTACACTTGATCTACTCAATCCTTGAAAACTAGCAAAGGCATAATAACAGATAATCCTCAGCTTTGCTTGAGATGAAGTGAGGATTCAAGAATGAGACCAAAGGCCAACACATATATTTAGCAACATTCTAGAGTGTCTTTTAAAAATTATGACCAAGAAATTTTACTCCCACTTGCACAAAGCAGGACCTGCTTTGAATAAATGGATCTTTTGAATATCTCCCACTAAAAATTTTAAAAGTTTCGTCATTTCATTCCCTCAACTGATGAAATGAAAAGATCTCGTTCAGACATAATATTGGATATTTGCATAAAATTCTACAGTTTGCCAAGTACTTCTGCATGCATCTGGATATTAGCATAGAATTCTACAGTTTGCAAAATATCTCTGCATGCATCCTGTTGGCTCATATTTTCCAGCTACCTAGTGAGATGAGTATTATTACCATCCCTATGACACAGATGAAACACTGGAAGCACAGGGAGAGCCTCTACCCAAGATCATAGTGAAGGCAGCAGGTGGAGACTGAGATTCACTGCTGACTCCAAATCCTGTGAATAATTTTCACTTCTCCCACATTGCCTGTCCTAAAAGTCTTCCCCTAAGCTGGCACCCCAAGTCCCTTCTGAAGGAACTAGTTCGAACCCTGGCTTCCTTCTTCACAGGAAAAATTAAGTCTTGGACCAGCAAGAATTTTCTGCCCTTTTCCTAATTCCCCTGGGACAAGGCAGAAAGGAATGCTTCTTTTGTACTTGTCTTTCCAAGGCGACAAAAAGACATTTCCCCGTGGTACTGGCGCCAGTACATAGCTGAATAAAGGGGTCCTTGGGGTGTTAGCTGTCTTGCCAGCTACGTTTAAACCCCAATGAAAAATAGTCCTTTTAAAATAACCCCTACTGATCTAAAAATAAATTTTAACTTGTAAAAGAAATTATGGCCAAGACGACAAGAAGAGCAAAGTCCCGTTGGGATAGAGAGTCTTCTCTTCTCCCCCTGAAGGTAAGAAGTTCCCTAAAAGGTCTCCTGGCAGGAGCTCCCCGCGATTTATCAGGCGAACTAGAGAAACTCACCCGCAGGGCTGCAGCTTCGTGGCAAGCAGGATTGGGACATAGTCTCCACTCGCTTCAGCACCGCGGACAGCTCCCGGCTCTCCAACTTCGGGCGCTGGTCCCGGCTCTCGGCAGCTGGCAGCGCCTCCCAGGCTGCGGGAGGATTGGGCGTCTCTTCACGAGTTTGAGGGAGCACGAGTGTGTCTCTGTGAGCAACCGGAGTTGCCGATAGAGCCTCGGGCTGCGATGGCGATGAGCCCAACTGCACCACGGTGTTGCGGGACCGCGCCAGCGCCGAGGAGACCGATCCCATCTCGGCGCGCCAGGCGGGGACCAGGTGAGCGCCCCGGCTCCCCAGAGGATCGACACCCCTAAGCTGCCAAAGGCTTACTTCCTTCAGGCATCGGGGCGCCCTCCGCCGACTGCTCCACCTCTGTCCCTTCAGGAAGAGGAGAAGGCTGCAGGGAGTGCTGCCCGCCCACCCCAAGTAGACTGAAGTAATCTGGGTGGTGTCAGCGCCTGACAGTCCAATGTGGATGGGGCACTTGGACAGAAGGAAGATGTTGACGTACAGAGATTGTCCGGAGGCTTTAATGGGGGCCCGAGAGAAAGAAGGGGCGTGGCATTGAGCACGGGATACTTTTTCCCCCACTTTTGCACTCGGTTCACCTGGGGACAAAGGCTTGGCGCCCTGTTCCTCTCCTCCTGGCACATCTGGGACGCTTCTGTCCCGGAGGAGGATGGAAGGTTTCGTGAGGGCGAAGGAGGAGCCAGGATTGTTTTCTTCTCAATTACTCTTCTTAAAGCTAAAGTCTTGCTCTTCTAGGCTGTGCTTCCCAGAGGGTGCCAGGCTCAGGGCTGCTTGGTGATCCCCTCTCCAGCATGTCTTCTCCAGTGTCCCTAACCCTGGATGCCGCCCTTTTACCCTTCCTTTAGGGGCTTAAGATCTGAGAGGGAGGCGGAAGTGCCAGCAGAATCAGCTGAGCTACATCTGGCTCAAGAGAGCAAGCAGGGAGGCGCCAGCAGGCCCTGGGGGCTCCCAAGACTGGAAGCCGAGCAGCCCGGGGCCCTATTAATAGGCCTGCTTTGCTGGCCAGGATGAGGCCACTGGCCCCATCTGTTTCTCTGCCTGCAATGAGAAGATAGTGGTGCCTAATGTGGGGCAGAAGGGAAACCTGGGATAACGTTTCAGTTAAAAGGTGTAACTGATCCCACCCCCTGTCCTCCTAGCTACTCAGGAGGCTGAGGCAGGAGGGTGGCAAGTTGGAGACTGGTCTTGGAAACTTAATGAGAATCTGCCCCCCTTAAAAAGTGGGGGGAGGGCCGCTGGGGTATAGCTCAGTGGTGGAAGGCCCCTAGGTTCAATCTCCAGTACTGCCCCATCCAAAAGAAGTGTAGCCCGGAGAAGTCTTGCCCAAGGTCACACAGCCAGTTAGTGATGGAGCTGTGTCTTGCTCATGGCACTCTTCTTTCTAAATCTGTTCTCCTATCCATACTGCTCCTGTTCTAAAGGTTGTCAGGCACTGAATTATGAAACAAGACACTTGCATAATACACAGCAAATCTGATGTTGTAATGTGTGAGGGGAGAGTGACTTCATGGAGGATTCCTCAACTGGCCTAGAAACCTGCCTTCCTCTGCCTTAGCACCCAGCACTGTTATGGGTTGGATGTGAGGTGTCCGCAAAAGTTCCTATGTTCACAAAGGAATATTTGGAGGTGAAGTGATTGGATTGTGAGAGCTGTAACCTAATCAGTGCATTTGAGTTGGGCTGACTGGGTGGTAACTGAAGGCAGGTTGGGGGTGGCTGGAGGAGGTGGGTCTGGGGCATGCCCTGGAGAGGCTCCTCTTCATGTGGCCCTATCCACTTTCCCTATCTGCTTTCCCTCTGCTTCCTGGCTGCCCTGAGCAGAGCAGCTTTCCTTCACCACACCCTTCCACTAAGAAGTTCTATCTCATCCTGGGCCCAGAACAATGGACTCAGCCAATCATGACCAAACCTCTGGAACCTTGAGCGACAATAAACTTTCTCTCATCCAAGGTGTTCTTTTCAGGTGTTTTGTTCACAGCAATGCAAAGCTGACTATCACAAGCACTCTTTTTGTGGCAGCATGATATGTGTCTTGACACTGTCATCTATGAAATGCCATGCACACAAGTAAATGAAAAGTAGTATTTTTGTAGAGATCGCTTCCAAAAACAATCAAATCAGCAAATCCAAAAATTGGAGAGGAACAGGAAAAAGAGGTTTTCAAGTCCCAAACTGGTAATTTAGAAAAAAGACAAGTCAAGGGATTAGCCAGGATGGGACAGCTATGATACAACCGAGTGTACTCTTCCTCCATGTGTCTCTCTCCCTCTCCCTCTCCCTCTCCCCCTCCTTCTCCTTCTCCCTTTACCCCTCCATTCCTCCCTTTCTTTTTCTCCCTCCCTCCCTTTCTCTCTCTTTCTCTAGACTCTTTCCTGTGATGTGGGCAGAAGCTAAAATCCTAGACTCTGAGCCAATATTACACACAGGAACCTCCACCATTTAGGGACACACATACCACTACCTCCTACACTTTGCAAGGGCTAGGGTAGTGTCTTCTCACTTCTGCCAGCCTCAGGGACCCATGTTCTCAGTGCAGGCAAAAGGACCACAATAGGATCCACCAGCCCATTTTGGATTAGTCTGGGTTCTCCATAGAAGCAGAATCTAAAGGAGATATAGATATATGCAGATATAAATAGAGAAAAGGGAATCAAGATTAATCATGAGTAATGAGCTCATGTATTTTTGAGGTCCCATGACCAGCAGCAGGCAAGTTGAAAACCAGAAGAGCCTATGATAATTTCAGTTGGTGATTCCAAAGGCCTGAGAACCAGAAGAGCCAATGGTGTAAACTCCAATCTGAGTCTGGGTCTGAAGGTGGCGGAAGACTATCAATCAGAAGAATTCTCCTTCATTTCAACTTGTGATTCAATTCAAAGAATTGAATGAGGTCCACTAACCTTGGAGAGGGCATCCTGCTGTACTCAGCCCCCCAATTCAAATGAAATCTTACCCAGTAATTTCCTCACTGACACTTCTGGAATATGTTTAACCAAACATCTCAGTACTCCATGGCCCAGTCATGTTAACACATAAAACTAGCTACGATGTCATGCACTTATATGACTGTGTTCATTTCTTTATGATTTTTTGATTACCTTTTTATTCTTTTATTGCTCACCTAGAAAACCCCAATATAAATCCTCACTCTGGGAAAACCCTCTCTTAAGAAAGAGAGTTCTGGGTCTGGGGTTGTGGCTCAGTGGTGGAACACTCGCCTCACACGTGCGAGACCCTGGGTTCGATCCTCAGTACCACATAAAAATAAAATAAGTGAAACAAAGGTATGTGTCCAACTAACCACATAAAAATAAAATAAGTGAAACAAAAGTATGTGTCCAACTACAACTTAAAAAAATAAAAATAAAAGAGAAAGTTCTTTTATTCTTATACCTTGGCTTGCCCTTCCAGTAAATTAGACATAGGCAACTTTATTGACATGGTTTAGATGTGGTTCATTCCCTAAAGACTGATGTGCTGGAAGGTTGGTCCCATTGTGGTGATGTTGAGGCAGTGGAAACAGAAAGAGGTGGGGCTTAATGGAAAGTAATTAGTTCCTGGGGGTTCCCCCCTTATGAATGGATTAATGCTCTCACAGAAGTGGATAGAATTCGAGAGTGGGTTATTGTAAATAATGCAAGGCTGGCTCCTCCATGTCTCTTGCTTCCTGGAAGTCTTGCCATATGATCGCTCCTTCTCCCATTTGTTCCCTCCATGATGCCTTAGCTGTGATGTGATGTAGTCAGAAGGTTCTCACCAGAGCTGAATGCTCTAGATTCTCCAAAACTATGAGCTAATAAACCTCTTTTCTGAATAATGTATCCAGACTCAGGTATTGTGTTATAGCTATACAAAATGGACTAATACAAACATTAATAATGCAAAAGTGGGCATGGAAAGAAGATGTCCCTGACCTACCCTAAGTGAAATATTCCACTTAACTATACCTATTGTAAATATACATGAATATAATACTTCTTCTATATGGAATGGAAAGAGCTGCTATCCTAAACCTCCAGACTTCCCCTGCCACTCTGGCTAACACAGGCCTTCCTCCCAAGACAGACAGACAGACAGACAGACAGACACACACACACACACACACACACACACACACACACACACACATCTTATAGCCGGCCAGCACAGCAGGGAGCCTTGGTACTGAAGGTAGTATCTGATTGATTGGACCTCTAGTCTCTCTTTTTTTTTTTTTTTTTTTTGACATGTGTAGTACTAGGGATTGGATCCAGGGTTGCTCTACCACTGAATTACAATCCTAGCCTTTTATTTATTTTTTTTTTAATTTTTATTTGGGAGACAGTGTCTTGCTAAGTTGCCAAGGCTTGTTCTGAACTTGCAATCAGATGAGATTGCAGGTGTGTGCCATCATGCCTACTCATACTATTCTTACCTATTTTGAATATCCCTACCCCTTACACAGTAAGGGCTCAGTGAATGTCAATGCCTTTCCCCTTTTCATCCCTTCTGTGTTTATTCTTTCTAATGACCCTTCAGGATTTTTTCCCCACTTTTCCAGATGAGGAAGTAAATTCATCAGCAAGAGTTAAATGACTGTTCATCCTGATAAAAATTGCAGGATCAAGTTTCAAATCCAGGTCTCTCTGGTTCTGACATGTTGTCCACATTTTTCTTTTTCTTGCTTTCTGAGCAATTTTACCCCAGAACCCAGTTCTTCCGTATTGATGGATGATCTGGAAAGGCTTTGCCACCCTGGAGATGATGTCTCCTCCTATTTCTTATCCCTGAGTTTAGGAAACACACACACACACACTTTCTCAGGGACAGAAGTTTAGCTCCACTGTGAATTTTGTATATGGTGCTATTGCTGATAATCAGATCCTTCCAGTTATTTTGTCAGTGGCATGAGAAGAACCTGAAAAATTAAAACAATCTTCCCTGTCTTTTTTACCACTTGTATTTTAAAACACAGGGCTGTAGCCAGGTACAATGGTGCACATCTGTAATCTCAGCTACTTAGGAGGCTAAGTAGGAAAATTGCAAGTTTGAGGTCAACCCTGGCAACTTAGTATGACTTTATCTCAAAATAAAATTTTTAAAAGGGCTAGAGATTAGTTCAATGCATAAGGCCCTGGGATTAATTCCAGGATCACTAAAAAAAAGGGGGGGTGGATGTGCTCAGACAGAGCTTGGTTAGAGAACATGCCAGCTGTTGGTTACCTCACTCTCCTCTCTTCTCCCATCCCATGACCTCATCCACCAAAGGCAGGAGAGCTCTCACCGGATTTCCACCAACAGCTGCTCAGCAGAGTCTACACTGAGAAGCATTGAAGAGATCTTCTGGCTTACCTGCCAACATCCCACCAGAACTGAGAGTCATCCGTGAGGAATAATCCCTTTGGATCCTGAAATTCTTAAAATGTTAAATTTACCAGAGCCCCGTCCTTCTGGAAAACAGTGAAGGTTAGGACATCCCCTATAATTCTTAGTCAATTCAGACTGCTATGCCAAAAATACCATAGATTGGGCGGCTTCAGCATCAAACATTTATCTCTCATATCTCTGAAGCTTGAAGTCCAAGACCAGGATGCCAATACAGTTG